AACCTTAGAGCCTGAATGGTCTCCTTGTTGTTCAGCGAGTTTTGTGCCGTAGCCCAAAGTAAGTTGGTTGCACCATCAAGAACAAGCAACACCATGTACTTGTTCTTCCTCAACTGAATTTCAGCATGATCAACAAAGATAAGATCTCCAAAGTTGGTGGATCGTATGCCTGAAATTCTGGCTCGCGGCGGTGGTGCAATGGAAGTACTACACACACGACACTTGTTGTACATCTCCTCATATTTCTGATAGACAGAGTCAGGAAGTCCTAACATGGAAGTCCTTCGTCTGAATTGAGTAGGAGACATGTGATAGTGTTTGATATGAAGCTTGTAAAGTTCCACACTATCCTCCAGTTTCCTGAGCATCTTTCTGTATGCTGGTGTCATGGCTTGTACTTCACTACCAGGCAGTGGAATCGAAACTCGCCTAGGCTCAAGAGCATCACTACCTAGTTTCTCAACTTGACTTTCTGAATCTTGCTTACCACGGTTGCGCGCAGGTGCAGAATGTTTCGGTTCAATGACTTGAGGTTCATCTGAATCAATTTTGTCCAAACCTAACTCCCTAGCTACCTTGTCAAGCTCATCTTCTTCATCAAGCTTGGGATAGAAGACAACAACCTTCTTTCTTGATGAACCTGATTGAGAGTCATCGACAACCTGAGGTTTCTGCTTACCTACGTGTCTTTTGGCTGCAGGTGGACCTACCTCAATCTTTTTCGAGCCTGGTCCATTTGAAATCGGTTTGCCTTCCTCCTTCTTTAAGGAGCTTGGCTTCTTCTTCTGTATACCTGATGGCACTGAAGAGGCTGACTCAGGGTGAAAAAGATCATCAATGTTTCCACGAAAGGGCTTTGCACGATCAATGTCACTTCTGACAATGTCATCTGGGATCACGTAGTCCTCCTTGATCTTGTAGATGGTCTTGCCCTTCCAGAACTCTTCACTCTGTTCAGAAAACCTCTTCTTTTCAATGCGCCAGTTGTCCTTATGAAGAACCTTCTTCTTGCTTTTCTGGAATTCCATGTGGGTTTCTCTCTCATCAAGAAGTTGATCTTTTGGAATTGGAGTTTTCTCTGATCGAGTCATCTCATGTAAGTTCATTCTCTTGTCCTTGTGGTGCCTGATGAGTTCACGACGTAGTGGATCAACCTGCCAGTAGTCACCAGTCACCAAAGCTTCTCCTTCAAGATCATCTTGTTTGACAGCAATCTGGCTGTACTCAAAGTGATCGTGTTGTGAATAGAAGCTTTTGACTTGTGGAGTCTTGAAATGAACTTGGCTCATGTACCATGCTACATCTTGTAGGTCGAGAATGAGATGAGTACTAATGGCTGTCCTCAAAACCATTTTTCTCATGCCAATACGTGCACAGGACAAATAAGCCTTCTCTGGAGTAAGTTCAAATTGAAATCCAAGGTTTCTCATCTGTGGAAGTGACATCAATAACGGGATATCACCTTCTTCGACAATGTCGAATTCTGTAAATTGAGTGTTCCATCCATGATCATACATGAATATCACGAGCTTCTCAATACATTTTAATTGTTGTGAGTTTGCAAAGAAGAATCTTGAACTTGTTGGCTGAATTTCATACCAGAGTCCACTATTAGGATGTGAGTCAACATATCTGCAAAATGCTTCAACTGCTCGTCGAGAGCCCATAGCTCTTGTGCATCCAAGATCCAGAATACACACAGTTGGTGGTGCAGAATTCTCTGTGTGAAAAGCTAGTCCATTCTCACATGCCAGATCAGTTTGTACAGTATGAAATGAAAAAGCACTCTGCTGTGATGGTTCCTCTATTTCTGTAAAGCATCCATATGAAAACAATGTTGTGTCTTTTGCCAATGGCTTCCATAAAGCCTCACCTTCTTAAAGACCAACTTGCCTGGGCACTACAGCTGGACGTTGTTATACACCTTGTCGTAGTGCACCAACTTCTCCAACCAGAACAGGTAATCTCTTCATTTCTCTCCTGTTTTGATGTGCTCTTGCATCACGTTGGTTCTGTCCTCCACGACGAGTACGTCGTTGTTCATCTTGTGCTGCATACGTGGATGTCAAAACATCAACACGTGCCGGCTCTGTCTCTGCAACATCAACACGTGCTGGTTCAGTTGTTCCAAATGAAAAGAAACCATGACCAGAACTTGAAGCTGCAGAAGAATAATGAGCTTGTTGAGTTTGTTGATTCTGTATGGCAGGAGTTGATGTGGTCTGAGGTTAAACATAGTTCGACTTACCTTTTCCATCTCCTGGCTTTCCTCCTTTTCCATCATCATCCTTGCCTTTCTTGCCTTTTCCTTTTCCTTTCTTCTGGAAGTATCCATACTCATCCATGTAGTACAGATCATCATAGGCCCAATAGCCTTCATTCCAGGTTTGATCATCGGCCCAATAGCCGTCATAGTTTTCATTCCATTTATCTTCTTGCCATTCATCTTCATAACCTTCTTCACTCACCATGTGAGCACGGCCTTTTCTTCTTCCTTTACCTCGGCCTTTTCCTTTTCTTGATCTGAAGAACCTTCGTCCTCCTCTGCCTTTTCCTTTTCCTTTTCTCTTTCCTTTACCTTTGCCTCGTCTGATGTATTTGCCTTAGAACCTTCTCTGATACCATGTGAAGTTAACGTCATCATAAACCCAGAAAACATCTTCTAAAGCATCCAGGAATCCTTCTGCGCCGTCTTCTTCATCTTCGGCCCAATAGCCGTCGGTTCCTTCTAATTCACCTTCATCCAGTACGAGGAAAGATCTTCTCTGTGCCACGCCAGAGGGTTGCATCAATGGATTGTCAATTGCTGTTTTGGTAGTGCAAAACATTTCCAAAAACAGGTTACGTAGTTCTTGAATGTTGTATCGATCGAGGGTTCGTCCACGATGTGTCATGATACTTGTGAGTGTGTTTCTCTGATCTTGACTCAGGTCAGCTAGACTTACAAAAATCAATGCTAGCAAATTTTCACCCAGTGGGAATGCTTGTCGCTGTGCTTCTCTACGATTTTCCTGAAATTGTCTGAATGCCGCTAGTACCAGTTCATCTGTCCAAGGAACAGCTACATGGGGTGTTCCTGAGGCTGCTGCTACTTCAGCTCTCTCTTGTTGATCTCGTTCATGTTCTTGACGTCGTTGTTAAACAAATAGAATTGCTTCAGGACTAGTCACTGTTACTTCTGGAAGTAAATCCATCCAAGACTCAATAAGTCTATTGCCAGTGAGTTGAAATCTAGTCATCCAGTTCTGAAGATCCATTGTTCCTCTGTTAAACTTCATGAACTGCATAAAATGGTATAAGAACACGTTCTGGGCACCTTTGATGAAATAAGGTCGTAGAAATCTTTTGAAATAGTGCGCTCCTTCATGGGGATCCCTGAGTAGTTCTCTGTCCAATAGCCTCTTGTATTGTTGAGCATCTCCTTCCAGTCTGTTGCGCAATGCTGGACCACGTTTCTCTGGTTCTAATTCCGTAATGTCACACCAATTATCAATTGCATCCTCAAAAGCAAAGAAGCTGGTTCGCCCATCATAGGCTGGAGCAACCTTTGTGGTCATCTGTTGCGTCATATGAATCTGTGTATGCTGGGGTGCTCTTCTCATTGCATAAGAGTCATATTGGTTCCATTTATTTGCATCGACAATGTCGAAGTCATCATCATCATAGCCATGGCTTGCCATTTCTTGGGCTCTACCTGGAGCTCACCCTCAATGAGGGATCACAGCTCCGCTACCACTTGAAGAGGGGCCCTAGCGTCTACTTCAAGATCAGCTAAGGCGTCTTCCCCAATGACAGCACTTGTTTTACTCAGCCTGTTGCCGGTCCGTGCTTGTCTACAGGGTTATTCTATATACCTCTTTCTTGAGCCTTGAGGGGCGCATATAAATGTGCTCAATACTCATGCATGTACCTATGTAGGTATTAGGTCGAAACAAAAACGGGGGGGGTTACTAAAATGACTAGCAATCTCCTGAAGAATCAGGTAACGGGGCTGGCCGCCCTCCCCTTTACTTCGTAAAGTAAAACTCAAGGTAGCCCCTCTGGAGCTACCTTTCGTGATAATAAATTCAATATTATCATAAATATTTATATAAAAATAAAATAACATATATAAAATATATATTTAAAATAATTAAGAAATAACAAATAAAAAATTTATTCAAATCCGATTATTTATTATAGATATCATAATAATATATAAAATTATGTATAATAATTATAAATATCATTATAAAATAATTTATTCCTTCTTATCCCAAAATATTTTTATACATATTATTATTTTAAAAATATCATTATATTATTTTATTTTTATATAATAAATTATTCAAATATATATTTTTTATAAGAAAAAAAATGGTTATTCCTATTATATTTTTATTTTTTAAAAATATATTTTTTTATTATTTTTTAAATATAAAATTTATATTATATTAATAATTAATTATATTATATTAATAATAAATAATAATTTAAACATATATAATATTTACATATCATATATATATAATAATAATAATATTAATAAAATAAATATATTATAAACAATATATTTAAAAATAACAATTTTAAAAATAAAATATTATTAAATTATTAATTAATTAATTTATATAATTTTAAAAAAATATAAATTAATATTAAAATTAATATATATATATATAATATTATAAATATTTAAATAAAATTTAATTTCATAAATATAAAATATATATTAATAATATTAAGGGTAATTTTACGAAATATAAGGTAGAGGAAAATAATGTTAAGGATCATAATGTCAAAGGGTAAGAAGATAATAAGGCGGAGAATTAATATTGAGAAAGAAATTAATAATAAGGAAATTTATAATTTTAAGGAGAAATATTATAATTATTAAGGATAATAATATGGAGGAGGAAAATCGATTTTAGGATAGTATTAATTAATTTATATAAGTCTAGTTAATCGAAATATATGGGATATATTATAAAAAGAATTTTATATTAGAATTTCTAAGAAAAAAATCGGATTCCGGAGATTAGGTATATATTTTAATCGAATTTATGTAGTCGAAATTGACATGGATATGTTAAAAAAAAATATACGGGAATTCGAAATGTCCAGAAAAATCGTATCCTAGACGTTAGGTGTGCATTTTGGACGAATTTGGGTTATCGAAATGTACATAAATATAAAAATAATCTTATACAGAAATTTATATAGGTGAAAGATTGTAAAAGATTGCAGACTAAGAGCAAACCAAATCGGCGCCGTACGTTTTGTACGAGCCTACGCGATCGAAATGCGCATGGACATAGTAGGAAAATAAGAGATTGAGCCGCTTAAGCATGCTTAAAGCACCTCATCAAGATAAATGTTCGCCATTTCTTTCGCCAAATAAAAATATATTTTCGCAAACTCAGAAGAAAACTGTTGCGGGGTCTCATATTGGAACCGTGGCCGCCTTGGCAATTAAAAAACCTTACATGGACCTTCAGATCGACTCCCATTTAATAGTTATTATCATTTAAAAAAACATATATATATATATTTATATTCTAAATTGTATTAAATGATAAAATTGTAAAGATTTTGTAGAATCGGATATGGATCAAGAATATGGATCAAGGTATCGATCGGGGGATATGGATCGTATGTGGGCCCGGGGCCTTGATCCATACCTTGTATTTTGATCCCCATTTGTTTGGCGATTTGCTAAAATAGCGATAACCCATGATAACCCCGAATTATGTAACATGGGGATCCCTAGATTTCAAAATAAACCAGTCCCAGCTGGAGGTTGAACTAATGAAACTATATGAAACTAATGTCTATCTTAACTTGGTGCTTACATGTGCTTACTATATACCCTTTTTGCTTGGTGAATCCCCCCACTCCTGGCCCACAGGCAGCAATGTTTCTCGCGATGTCGGGCATCACCAAGGATCTGTCCCTGGCGTTGCGGCTTCGGTCAAGTGAAACATGCTTAAACCAACAAACATGTGGATTTCATCCACAAAAATGGGGATTGATTAAACCAAAAAAACATGTCCATTTACCATGAACTTGGAATTTTGCCAAGCTAAGATTTGGATCTTCCCAACAAAGATGCTGACTTTACGAACGACAAATCACTCAAACCAAAATGAAGAGTTTGCGAACGAAGCTGTGGATTTACGAAGCAAAAATGTTGGTGGTACGGACAGACACTGGGATTGTGCCAGCATGGTAATCTGACCTCGCGATGGAACATCACCAGTTCAACATATAGCATTATACAATCTGGCTGAATTATCTTTGGACATTTAATGGATATTTAATGGGATGTAATAGGATCTTTGGATATTTAACCCTATGGATCCAAGATGATCCAAGTACCTTCGGAAGTAGGGGTTGATTTCGGGGGTGAAGTCGGGGTTTTCCGTACTCAGGTAGCATTTGGATCCATAGGGGTATATATATATACACACACATAGTATTATATATATATATCTTTACTATATATATATATTACATAATGGGACACTTCGGGATGATTCCCTAAATCCAATGTCCATCATTGTGACGTCACATGACGTGAGGTCATGGGACAGTCAGATACGTTGTGAGTGTAACCCATGGCTACCTCGTTGGTGGTTTCAACCACACCCCTCTGAAAAATATGAGTTCGTCAGTTGGGATTATGAAATTGCCAATATATGTATTATCCCATAGATTATCCCATAGATTACAGTATTTCATCTATTTCCATAGATTCCCAATATATATATATATATGGAAAGTCATAAAAGCCATGTTCCAAACCACCAATCAGTAATGGACTGTGCAGACCTGACGATGGAATACACCCCAACCAGGGATGCTTTTCGTCTAAACGATGATTTGGCTCCATACTCTTGCTGGCAAAATGCATAAGGATCTATTAAATGTACATGTCCCATTGAAAAGTATCCACGATGTTGAATATGTATGTATATGATTTTGTGTATGTATATATATATATACACATCACATAACACACTCATTCTTCATTAGACTTCAGTGTTAGGCACACCAGTACATTCACTGCCGGTGATCGCACCATGTTTACTGCTCCTTACATACACTTGATCGTTCATGAAAGGCTGTGGTTGTTTCCAGAATCTGTGTGCCCCAGGTTTGTTCAGGGAATCACCCATTAATGCGTGAAAATTCTTGTCGATTGGTGAAATCCCTATTTTTTCCCACAAAATCCACTTCATGTCATATTTGTTCCCTGATCGAATCAATATGTTGAACCCCCTGCTTCCCGACCACCTGGATTTTCCCCTTGGGATTCCCATGAAATGGTGGGTTTCCCATGAGGAAAATTGCCCACCTCTCCCGCGAGGCCACCCAGCGCTCCAGTTCCTCGGCTGGTGAAGAGAATGTGTCTTCTGTAGGGGCACCTGCAAAAATCCCGGGGATCATTGCAAATAGCACTTGACTGCTATATGTGCGTATGATGTATATATATATATGTATATATATGTGTATATATATGTATATATATATATATGTATGTATACACATATATATATATATAAAGATGTATGTATATGTATTTATATATATATATACATGCTTATATATAAAACAACATGTAAAAGTAAAAGCAGAGGGGCACCTGACACAAGCTGATGAAATATGATGAGGTATGCTGTTCAATTTTTTTATCATCACAATTCGGCACTTGACTATAAAAACAACACCATTTTAAACATGAGCAACACTGTTTTCAAACATGATACGAAAAAACGATCCGCAACTGACCCAGGCAAGACACAACCGGAGTTTCAAAGGTCAACCGCTGCCAGCATCGCAGAACATCTCCCCGAAAGGATAGAAACGACAATATGCGACTAACATCATGGTGAAGTATGTTCCTATATTTCGAAAGGGAGTTGCTACAAGGTGGCACACCTCACTCAAAAAAGTTCGTTTATACATCTAGATAAGTATGGATATTGACTTATCATAAAATCATAAGCCCAAGTTATCTCAGCAATAAACCAACTTATAAAAAGTTAGCTAACCACTTCGAAATGCAGATCCAGTTATAAGTGGATATATAACCATAGTTATAGATAGTTATGGGGATTATATTCCAATTGATGGTGTTTAGTTCACCATGGTCGTATTCATTAATAACCATTGATGATCATTAATAACAATTATTAATAATGAATGATTAACCATTCTTGAGCCATACTAACCATTCATAACCCCTAGCCCCAAGCTGGTGCAAGGATCTCATGCTTCGCTTCCTCCGGCCACTTCTTCCACGATTTCTCAGTCTCGCTTCCAAAGTTCTCGCTGGATTTGGGTTTCCATTCCTGGGAAGCGCAGATTTTTTTTTGGGAAAGCAACCTTAAAAAAAGGCATTTAAGTCTAAGTCATTTATAGCACCCTCCAATTAGATATGTTTATAGCAAAATGCCTTGGAATTTCTTGGCCATGAGTAATAAAATGGAGACTTGATCAAGAAACATGAGATTTTACTACATACAGCACCATACAGCACCATACAAGTACAGGAGTAGAAATTGAGGAGTTGACCAATGGATGTGGCGGCACACATCTTGGGAAAGGATGAAATAAAGTACAGTAACGTGTTTCACTAGATTCCCTACGGTTCCCCAAAAAGAAACCGGTGGGGTTAACACAGAAAAAAACTAGAAGACGCATGATATCTGATATATGATATTTGATATTCATAATATAACATTTGGGCGGCGACAAACATGACTCCCTTCCCTCTAATATTACATATCCCCAAAACAAAATGCTGGTGAAACGTATTGGATTTGTTCATGAATTGGGGTCCACTCATAGTGGGTATATAATCTTATATTATATTTGTATGTTGGCTATATTAAGCCCCAGTTCATCCTGATTAAAAGCCAATTAAACCGCTATTTCCATTCATTTTGATGACTGACCCGCGCTATTAAAATCTATGAATATTCAGTATGATTCGGGGGAAAGGAAAAGGACCTTGAACCACTGAAAGGTTCCCACTTGGGAGCTTTCCAATCCTTCTCAGCGGACCAATCCTCGGTTCTGACAGCGATGGATTTCAGGACAAGAAACCAATAGAAACCATGGTCATTACACGCTATTACCTCCATTTTTGGGGAGTTTTCCTGCAATTTTTTCAAGTCGCACAGCTGTGGAGTTCTTGTGTTGTGGGGATTTGCCGAAAACTGGAAATAGTGTGATTGTCATTCTTATGACTGGTTGGTGGTTGACCTACCCCTCTGAAAAATATGAGTTCGTCAATTGGAATGATGACATTCCCAATATATGGAAAAACAAAAGTCATGTTCCAAACCACCAACCAGTTATGATCATCATGGTTGGTAAACTTCCTCCTTTTGCAGTACGATCCCTTCCCCTCACATCAAGTACGCAGCCCGACCATTTCTGGGAATGTGCTGACCCTATGACCATGTGGGGGCCGAAAAAATATGGAGGTGAAGAACCCCTTTGTTCGCCCGAGGCATCCCAGGCATAAACACTCGGGAGCACTGTCCGACCTTCTGAGAAGCTGGAAAAAGAAGCCGGTGGATTGGTTTTTTCACCACACCAAAAACTAATACAAAAACAATGACTGGTTGGTGGTTGAGCCCTACCCCTCTGAAAAATGATGGAGTTCGTCAATGGGAAGGATGACATCCCATATATGAAATGGAAAATAAAAAATCTTTGAAACCACCAACCAGATGACTTCGCACTTCGATTCTCAGCAAATAAGGATAGAAGCGGAGCACCCCTTCCATCCGTCCCAAAAATATAATCGGGATCATCAACCCAGATAGGCTTCACAACAGACACTTTCATAGATTTCGATGTGAAGCTGGTCTCCGTTGTTGGGGTATACGGTAAACCTCAGACATCCATACTGCATCTTCATTTGCAGAGACCCTGAACCTGAACAAACACAGGTTAGTTTGTCTGAAAATAGGGTACTGTACCCTAAAATTTGATCAAGCATCATCATTTTCCTTTTAAATGATCCCTTTAGGGGTATATCCCATGTTAGAACAGTCGCCAGTCGCAGCAAGAATCTTTTTCAGCGCTCCAATCCGCCTTCCAGTCCTTCTCTTTCCACTCTTTCGCTGCTTTCGCTGGAGCCTTGGCGGACTTCCAATCTTCTCCGGCCCAGTCTTTCTGGGCTTTCCACTCCTCTTTCCAACTTTGTTCCTCGGCTCGAAAGCACGGAAACTCGGCGCTTACGGGCATCATGGGGGTGAGGATGATACGTCAGTGAAAACATCCAGTGGGTGATATCCTGGTGGATAATATATATATATATATTCTTGATCATTTAACCACAATAATATATTAATGCCATTAATTGGGATTCAACCGCCAGTCAGGTGACCACCCCAATATTGTTGAGGTCCAACGCGCGGATCTTCACCATCTGGCAATGGGGGGGCAACGAAGGGGGGGGTTGGATAGCCATGGCAAAACTCCTTGGGGGTGCAGTTCCACTACTAAGTGGCTTATCTGTGACCATAGTTGTAACCCTCCATCTTAACCCGTGTTGATGACCATTAATAGCCCCAACTGCACTACAAACTCTATGTTTTGCAAAGAATTGAAACCACCAACATCCACCAACCATGAACATTCCCTGAAGCTTGAAGACTTGATGGGAACCCCGTCCGCCAAGCCGAAAACCACAACATTCACAATATCTGGAGACATGACATGAACTGGTTGGTAGTTTCAAGCCCTCTGAAAAATATGAAAGTCAGTTGGGGTTATTCTTCCCAATATATGGCAAAATAAAAAATGTTCCAAACCACCAACCAGTGAATAAACATCACCAATCATGGATACCTGGCAAAAAAAATGTTGCTCAGTATCTATTTACATCTATGGCAAACTAATTGACATACCTATTTTCTACCCAAGGTTGACATATGGAATAAACATGAATCATCTAAACCCTAAACCGAATACCCGTAAACTAAGATAGCTCTGGAAAATGAATAAACATTGTCCATTTAGTTCGATGATTCACCTCTTCAAAATTGGGCTTTTCAATGGCACACTGTTAAATTGCCAGAGTAATCAACCCTGGCAATGGAAGTTCTTCCCCATGTATAGATTACTTCCCCAAATAGAAATATCCATTTACACATAGTTGATTTTCCAGCCACTGAAACCAAGCGACAGAGCTTTTCCCAGCGGAACGCCAATCTTTTTCGGCTTTCCAACTGGAAGATTGCTGCCTCAGTTGCAGTTTTTTGGGACAGACAAGTTAGCCAAGCTTCTTCAAAACTAATATAACTTGGCTTCATAGATACATCTGGGTATATATATATATTCATATATAGCTATTACTGTATATTTAAATGGGTTTATAAACCAACTTACAAATGGGGGGACGCCTGTAGAAAACCACAAAATGATTCCGAAACCAGCAGCCAAATACATGCTTTGAACCATGAGGACGGCACATATGATCACATATGTCTGACAATACCGAACTTTGAAACATGTCATCTTCACCCCACCCCCTCAACCATGTCGTGCTAAGTCCACAATTGATTTGCCGAAACTCCCACACTGTAGTGGTTGAACCACCATTTTTCACTGATCAAACAACACCCTAGAGCTAAATCTCTGGATGTCCTCTTCTTTTTAGCCATCCAGTAGTTCCAGTAGTCAAACGTGACAATAGGAAATCCCTATAAATGTAGGTGATATTTGGAAAAACATCTATGAATGATGGTTTTTCCGTATATTTCGAAATATTTCCATAAAGATCCAAATGTGTGATTTTGTTTTAACAGCAAGACACGCGTTTTTTAGTACTTGGCTTAATCCCTAAAGATATTTCCACTGAATAATCCAATCCCTCGTTCTTATATAAACACATCCTATAGTTGGGTCTCGAGTATGTGATTTCATCATATTTCATCCCCTACTAAAGCATGAATTCTGGGTTTTGCTTAAGATTCCCATTATATCATCAGATTGTTGGTTATAGATTTCCAGTATATCCCCATCAGATTATCCCCATAGATATGTAAAAATGTGAGGCCCCCCCTGTTATCAGTTGATTTACCTCATAAACTATCGTTATGTCCACCATAAACCAGGTGAACCAAGTTGTAAATTAAATTAGCTATCTAGGGGGCCTCAACTTGTGTATGCATATATACACACATATTAATGGAGGTTTCCTAAAGTATGGGTACCCCTAAATCATCAATTTAAATAGAATCATCCATTTTGGGGTATCTTCAGTTGTGGAACCCCCCATATGTGATTATACTTGCCTCTTCAAAAGGGTGCTTAATTTGCACAAGCACGACCTTTTTGGGCAAACCAGAGTTTCTTCTGATATATGCATGCCAAGCCCGTTTTGCAGCCGCGAAAATGCCCGACCAAACGGCGCAAATACCCGACCACGTGGGCTGACAATTTATCACAACGGCATGAATATTTTGAGGAACGGGCGTTTTTCCGCAAGAACGGCGGTTCTATTCGAGTGTTTTTGAACGGCAGACATAAGTAGCATATGGAAGATCCAGGTATATGTAAATAATTTCCATATGGTATGGAATAAGTACCATATAAGTACCATATGAGTACCATATGGGAATGCATCATTTCCACATATTTCCAGCAGAATCTCCCGCTCCAAGGTACTCCTTCGCCCACACCTCTCGCGACGGTTTCTCCGTCGTTTTCCAGGTCTCCCAGGTCTTCTCAGACTCAGGAGCCTCGGCCTGCCGTAAAAGGCTATTGAAAATGGCCATTTGTAGTGGATTTTCCCATTAAAAATGGCGATTTTCCATAGTTATGTTAAATTACCAGAGGGTATAGAGTATGGGAAATCTGTAGGAAAATCCACTAGAAATAAGGGAATCTAAAAGGAATATGCGTTGTTTGTTGTTTTTTTTGGGGTTCTGATTGGTTCTAAGGTTGGTAGAGAAATAATAAACCACCCATATTGTGATGGTTTATAAAAGCCATTTATGGTTTGGGGATGGTCTACTATTGCTTCACTAACATATTGAATGTATATTGTTGGTTGGTTTTGGGGCTCTTACGGTAATGAAGATACATGAATATACATACAATATGCATTACATTATATATGTATATGTATTATTATTGTTGTTATTATTATGATTATTGTTATTATTATTATTATTATTTATATATATGTATATACTGTGGATGAGGAAATCCTGCACCAGTTGGTAGATGGTTTATCCCACTATAGTCCCATTATTTTCAGTGGTTCATAGTTACCAATAGCATCCAATAGCTACCAAGCGCTGCAATATTTTCCACAATATGTATTCTGTAGGAAAGTGTATTGATTATATTATATACATGAATATAATCTATGTATAAAATCACACACATATATATATACATGTATATATAACATAATATATATATATATATTATGTCTATGCGTGCGTGTGTATGTGTAGAATTTGTATATATATATTTCTTTATAGATACACGTACTCTACATGAATATGAAGCAACTACAGTAATCAAATAGTTGGACACGGATGTGAAAGCAAAAAAGACAAAGGCGACTAAATTTAAGTTTACAAATTCAATAAAGTGGTCCACATACTTTTGAGATCTTTTGAGAATACGTGTCAAGATTGGGTACCGTATGGTACCTTGGAATTGAAACGTATTGACTGACCCTGATTCGTTTAAAAAGGGGTTTGTGAACAGGACAGTCCAGATTCCGAAAATAAAACCTTCAGGCGTCTCCCAAGGCAGGTGCACGCCAATGGCTTTCCCTGTGATAGTGGTACAGTAATCCCAGCCCCCCAAATATTAAACGCCCCCTCAATTATGTGGAAATCCTCTACTAAACCATGGTTTCTGGGGGTGGTGGGTGCTTAATATTAGGGGGAAGGGATTATCGGTCAAAGCATTGTTTGTTTCCTTTCAACCGGATTCTTGATCGACATGCCCCATATCCATTCAGTACATTTCAGTACTGTATCAAAAGCCTATCGCTCGCATCCACCAAATCTTAAAGCATTTTGGTATTGACTAGTCATGACCCATTCACTGGAACATCCCCAATTCTTTACTTGTTGTATGTTCTAATGAACAGTTGATCTTTCCCAATCTACCATGTTGCATTACCACCCAAAATCTCTTGTGACAAACCACCTTTTCACCATGTCTTCAAGTTATTCGATACTATTAATGGTCAAGAATCAAGAATTAGGTCCCCAGGCTACCATCCCCTGCTTTTTTTTGCAGCCTTCCAGGTATTCCAATTCTTTTTCCATTCACTCTTCTCCTTTGGCCAAGCTTTTCCTTGACCTCCCAAGTGGCTTTGCAAAACCCCAAAAATCTCTTCGTGGAGGATTAGCATCCCGAAGATGGAAACCAACTGAAACCAGAAAAAAACTTGTCACAAGATCCGGCCATGTGCTTTTTTTTCCGTACTTCAGAAAGGCCAATTGCTGAGAAGCAGACGCATCCATTTTCTTGTGGCGTGTTTCTCTGAATGCAGTGCTGTCAATCAGTGTCTTGCACACAAAGTTTTGCATGAACTCTAACCTGAAGCAGTACATGCAGTAGATCCCCTAAACATGTGTCCATTACGTGATTGCACATATTTTTGTGCAGATGGATGATTGAATGGGAGGGATGAACCAAAAAAACACTGGGATACCCCGAAGAAAAAAACTGCCAACCAACCAATTCCACCCCGGGGATGGCCTTTTTTGCCCCCTTTTCCTTTTCCTTTGGATCCTTTGGATCCTGTAGCCTGGCAATGAGTGAAATCGGTGACAAAGATCTGAGCTTCGTCCCATCCCCGGAATCTGAAATAGTACCTTTTTAGTAGGGACCCCAGAATGAATGGGAGATTAGTCAATATCAGGGGAAGGGGTTGCTGAAAATGTGTTTAAATGCCACCAGCACACATCGCTCACTCAATACCACACCTTTGAAGAGCTAAATGCATCATCACCTATCAACATGGTACCAGTCAAACCATTGGATTTTGCTTGGAGTATGGTCATACCACCATCATGAATGGGATTCCTTATGGTATAGAACATATATATCAACCGCTATTTTCATGGATCGCCATCCCCTTTTATTGACACTAATTCATGTATACAATGTAACTTGGCCATGGCACATATGGCTAACCTTAACTATATTAATTCCATGAATCCATACAAGCATTCTAGACCCATCATAGTTCAAAACATGTTCAGCCCGAGGCCGCGACCGATACACCAGATCTTATATACATGCATATATGCAATGTGTATACATACCAAAAAAACACATCAGTTTGGATATCAGTTTCATGATGTTTCATGTGTATATATATATGTTATTTACTGTAAAAGTATTGCTGGCAACAAATCCAAGTGAAATCATGTCCCTTGAAATTCCAAAGCGGCACCTGCTCGTCGGTCTTTTGACCCTGATCAGCGGATGCCTCCATGGGAAACTTGGTGCGGTGGGGTCCTATCTTGACGGTTGATGAGGAACAGGCACACAAGCGGATGATGAGGATGAGGATGATGATGCTGGTGGTATCTTTGCGATTATGGTTCTGATGATGTTTTTGTGAATTGTTTGTAATGTTTCCTATCATTGTGATTAATTACTTGTGAATGATCTTGATTGATTTGCACTCTTTCACCAGCCTGAAAAATTCGGTGCAATCCCAGCCGGTTACATGGGACGTATCGTGACATACCCAAATACTGCGGTCAAGCCGATGTCATTAATGACTTATCAGAAATGGTAGAAACTACGTAGTATAAACATGTAGAAACCATGCCCACTTGGAAGAGAATGTATGGGAGTTTGCCAGCCGAAATCTGTGTTCGACTTGGGTACTACCCCAATTTAAGCCCTAATTCATATGAGAAACATGATGACACAATGCTTTGGAATTCGGGGTACCCAATTTCAGACAACATTTTTCCAAACAAGTGGGAAGTCCTAGATTGGCTTTAATTTGCAAGCAGGATTTCGAGCGACGTTTTATATAGATTTATAATAGTATGGAGTCGTATTTCTTGTTCCAGCCTGAGTTGGGCCTAATTCTTTTGAGCCGAAGGTATCTAGAATAAGCAAAACTGGTCGCAAGTTGCAAGGTTTAGTCACTACAGTGGGGCCCACTTTAGGGATCGGTGAGATCTCGACCAGAAGGAGGTTTCTCCACCCCCAACAGCAGAGGTTTACCGCGCGGTCAGAAACATCAACCAGTCATCTCTCTGCTTGCTTAAAGCATCTTAAACCCTAGGGAAGTGCAGGGTGCGCTTTGACACTTGAAAGTGACGAACTGTCTCGCACACTTTAGGACGCGAAAAAAAACCTTTCAGCCTTAGATTGCCTGATTGCCTGCCTGCGAATCTCTCACAATTTCGTCAGAAAGAAATTCCAATGTCTCACAAGATTTCAAATGACCCCCAGTGCCACTAGTGCTTTGGTTGAAAAAACGCGCTGGACGGGTCTCTTTGGTGTTATTAATGAAGACAGGAAAGCTTCAGCCTCACCAGGCTGACCCTGGAAGGGCTAAAATCATCCTTCACGAAATACGTTTACCGGGATCGCCAAGCGACCGACGTCCATGGAAATTTAGGAGGACGCCCTCTGACTGTGTGGTTGCCATGTTTGACTACCGGAGGATACCTAAAATCGTTTGGGGCACCCCTGTATACCCTCTGGTACTTTAACATAGCTAATTATTGAAAATGGACATTTATAGTCTATAGTTGATTTACCCATAAAAAAATGGTGATTTTCCATGGTTATGTTAGTTTACCAGATGGTAATTTTTACCACCACCGGAACATCCTTCCCATTCTGCGCGCCAGCAATGGATTTGTCCACACGTTCCAGCTGAAATTACCAGGTGGTGGTTCAAGGGGTTCCTGCAGGGCCGATATGCAATGGCCAGGATGCCCTTTAAGATAAAGAAACCATAGATATAAGGGATCATTAGGGAGCCATATAGCCATTGTTATAACATATTACACATCATATGATTTAAATTAGTTGACTAATAGGATGAATTATGACGATCAACCTGAAGACTTCGACGATTTGGGGATGATCCCGCTACCAAATCCATGGTTGCGTGTCTCAAGGTGGATTTGATTTGGGATATACCTCATTCTTGGACAAAGCCCCAGTTTTGCACATGTGCTTGCTGTTGGAAGCCTCTTAACTGGTGTGGAGGAAGGTCATGTCCGCCGCCATTTGGGTTACAGACCAGCAGGAAATAGCTTTGTGAGTGCTGATTGCATCTATCAAAAAGCATCCCCAAATTACACTGCAACGAATTAGGGCACCAAACCATAAATGCATCATATGCCACTCTGCCCCAATTCTTTCGTGGCTTGCGTTTGGCTATGGACCAAACCCCATACGCACCCTGGTGCAGAAAAAAAAAGGCTTAGAACATGTATATGTTCATCCCCCGAATCTTACGGTGTCCTAGGTATTAAATTATTGACGCATCACCAATTTAAGGACGGCTCCCCCAAAAAAAAAGGTCTATCATGTGCTTGGGAAACTCTTGGCTCCTTGGCTCCTTCCATTCAGATTGCAGTCCTTAAATGCCGTGAGCTTTGCTCTTCTCGGCTGCACTTCTTCCACTTCATCATCATCATCTTCCTCCTCTTCTTCACCTTGGATATGCTGATTTGAGGTCCCCCCAAAAAATAACATATACATTCATATACACTATTCATATGTACAATGCCAACACCGGATTAATAAACGCCCCCCCCACAAGGTCAGATGGACCTTGTCAGGTCTTTTCTGTTTCACCCCTTAATAATAAGCACCTCCGAACCATAACATTTTGGAGATGATAAGATTTGTATAGATTTGATGTTTAAAACCTCATGGAAACCATCAGATTCCATTGGATTTGATAAGATTTGAGTCTTAAAATCTCATGGAACCCATAAGATTCCATTGGATTTGATAAGATTTGAGTGTCATAACCTCATGGAACCCATAAGATTCCATTGGATTTGATAAGATTTGAGTGTCATAACCTCATGGAACCCATAAGATTCCATTGGATTTGATAAGATTTGAGTGTCATAACTTCATGGAACCCATAAGATTCCATTTAGATTCCTATGAGGGAAGAGTGAGGAAACCACCATGCGGGGTTTGGTGTCCTGTCCAGGGTGTTTATAAAGAATTTTGGATAAAAAACAAATCAGCACAGGGGGTTGATTAATCATGTCCTAGCCAAACGGTTTATTAATCCTGGGGGACCACCTGTTTTTTAATTGCAAAAAAAAAACATGGGAGGAGGAGAAGGTTGATTAATAACGGGGTGTTGACTAATCCTGACTTGACATTATATAATTATATATATTGTATATAATTGTATATAATTATATATATATAAATTGTATATATTTATATATAATTATATACAATTATATATAATTATATACAATTATATATAATTATATATAATCATATATATATATATTCATAGATTCCCCAGTTCTGGTGGATTTTCCATCGGGAAAATTTCACATCACCGACTAAACGAAGCCAGGACACCCTCGTCCATCTCTTCGTACATCTCTTCTCCTTCTTCGTCTTCCTGCAAGTTCACCGGTTTCCATGGGACAACCATCCGAATCCCCCGCACTGTGGGAACCATGAAGATACAATGCACGGTGTGTGACCTACAACAATCAGTTGTGTTTGGGATACATGTTGGTAAACATTCCATACATGTAGCATGTGGGTATGACTTGAAATATTCCATGATTTATGGACGGCTGATGGTGCCAGGGATTTTGGTTCGGATCAATACATCTGGGAATTCAACTGTTTCCGTGGGATGTGTCATAATTATTGACCCATCATTTCATGTTGGTTTAATACTCCAAATATTTCGACATGAATTTGGGATCACAAAAATAACGCGCAATTGAACTGCCAGTCCAATTGAACTGCCTCTCGGGTGACGTTCTTTCCTTGGATAAAGTCAATTTTTCATGTGGTAAATCCAATGCCGTAAAGCGACAAAAATGACTGGGGATGGTTATGATGGTTGAAATCCATGATTGAAATCCAACCAAAAAAAAATGGTTGGCCTGGTGATGTGGGGGGTGGTCAACATGGCCAGGGAAAAAAACTCAATCCCCATCACCTCAGAAAGGCTCCTTAGCTCCATGGCTGAGCTAAGAATCTGAAGCACAGATAGGATCATCATCTCAATTTATGGGGACAAACATAATCCATAATCATCCATTTATAGGATGGTGCCCAGTTCATTAGCTAAGTTAGTTTATAAAACTAGCAATACTTAATACAACTCGCCTTTATGTTTGATATATCAAACACATATGTATATATATATAGTCAACTGAGCTTTAACTGAGGTTATAAATAACCAACTTAGAAGTGGCGGGGCACCATCTTGTACATGATTTGAAAGCAGTAAGCGGATTCCACAAAATCGTATTGCATCTGACCTCACTCTTGCGGGTGATATCCCCATCTTTTGCTGTGTCAAGTCGCTGATTTTGTGAGTTAAATCAGTTAAATCCAGATCTTTCTTGCTTAATCCCCCATTCATTTCCATGCGTTTCTATGATGTTCGAAACTGTTCCTCATCAACATCCTATCATAATCTACCATGAAAAATAGGAAACATCACAGTTAAAACCATTCACAAATCATGGATTTTCATATATTTTCATATATTCTCATATATTTTCATAGATTTTCATACATGTTCATATATGTTCATATATTTTCCATGACATTTCCATGACATTTCCATGACGTTTCCGGTGAACTTGCCACATTTCCTCCGCCTCTCCTCGGGTTCCTCCCAGTCGCCCGGCGGCGCGCCAAGGGCGTCGCCGCCGTCGCCACCGTCGCCACCGTCGTCTTCGGCTTCCTGAGGTCGCACCCTCAGATTTAATAGGTAAACCATGGGAAAACCATGGGAAAACCATGGGAAAACCATGGGAAAATGGTAATTGACATGGAAAATGGAGCATGATCCATAGAAATAGATGGTTTACCGAACTTCAACATGGTGATTTTCCATGGCGCCATGTTAAATAACGAGGGTAAATATAGGATTCAATACGAATTTTTGATGATTTTTGTGGGTTAGAAAATCCGCACCCCACAGCCCCAACAGGGGCAGTGTTGCTATCATTTCATGGACTGGAGCAACCCCGGTTAAGAAACCATTATTTTTGGGGGGACTGACTACCTGAATGATCTTATGTTTTTTCATGCGGGCTACCCTGGGTAAAATCACTAGGGTGACCCCCCAAAATAATTTTTCAGAATTATTCTGAGGTGCTTCAGTACATAACCCACTACAAAATATTTTTTCCAAAACACTCTAACCATCCCAAAATAATATCCGTTATCACTACCCACCTCCTCAAAATAATTTCTGAAAATTTGCAAATAAATTATTTTGTAGGGTTCTACTATTACTCAAAAACACTTCCCTTAGTTCAAAATAATTTTGGAAATTATTTCAAGGTGGTTTAAGATGGTTTTGGATGATTGAAAAAACAAGTAGAACCACCTCAAAATAAATAGCAAAAATCCCCACAAAATTATTTTGGGGGGTCACCCTACCTATCCTCCCGAATGCACCCGACAAGCATTGTCGGAATTTCATGATTTAGACCATCGATTTTTGGACAAAGAAATCTGAATCGACCCCTTCCTACCCCATAAATTATTTTGGGGGTGGTTAACTACTAAACCACCCCAGAAATAATAATAGCCTAAACTGGCAAAATTAACTTCCCATTGAGTAGTTCAAAATCCAAATTGCCTCGAACAGACAAACCCTGAGATTTACCATGAATTACTTGCTGAACTAATTATTTTTTAGAACATCGACTTAGCATCGGCTTTTGGGCAAAGAAACCTGAATCGATTCCTCTCTCCCCAGAAATTATTTTGGGGGTGGTTAACTACTAGACCACCCCAGAAATCCAAAATAACCTAACCTTGCAAAACTCAACTTCCCTGGAATAGGTCAAAAATGCCAAACCTGATCCAAATTGACCCAAACTGTCTGAAAGAATCAAACCATGAGAACCTAATTATTTTGGGGGTGGTTAACTACTAAACCACCTATGATTTAGACCATCGATTTTTGGACAAAGAAATCTGAATCGACCCCTTCCTACCCCATAAATTATTTTGGGGGTGGTTAACTACTAAACCACCCCAGAAATAATAATAGCCTAAACTGGCAAAATTAACTTCCCATTGAGTAGTTCAAAATCCAAATTGCCTCGAACAGACAAACCCTGAGATTTACCATGAATTACTTGCTGAACTAATTATTTTTAGAACATCGACTTAGCATCGGCTTTTGGGCAAAGAAACCTGAATCGATTCCTCTCTCCCCAGAAATTATTTTGGGGGTGGTTAACTACTAGACCACCCCAGAAATCCAAAATTACTTTACTTCGTATGATCCCCACCATGACATTTATACATTTTCTTACTGGCAAATCTTCTGGCATTCTATCTGACATATCTTCTGACATTCTATTTGCCATTCTATCTGGCATATCTTCTGGCATATGATCTGGCATATCTTCTGGCATATCTTCTGGCATTCTATCTGGCAAATCTTCTGGCATTCTATCTGGCATATCTTCTGGCATTCTATCTGACATATCTTCTGGCATTCAATCTGGCATTCTATCTGGCATATCTTCTGGCATATATTCTGATATATCTTCTGGCAATCTATCTGACATATCTTCTGGCATATATTCTGACATATCTTCTGGCATATCTTCTGGCATATCTTCTGGCATATCTTCTGGCATATCTATCTGGCATATCTTCTGGCATATTTTCTGGCATATCTATCTGGCAAATCTTCTGGCATTCTGGCATCTGGCAATCTCTGGCATCTGGCATATCTTCTGGCATATGATCTGGCATTCTATCTGGCATATCTTCTGGCATATATTCTGACATATCTTCTGGCATTCTATCTGGCATTCTATCTGGCTTTGCTATTGGCATTCTATTTGGCATATCTTCTGGCATATCTTCTGACATTCTTTCTGACATTCTTTCTAACTTTCTGCAGCATTCTTTGTCCCATATCTTCCACATGAGGTCCGGCAGGGAACACTTGGCGTGGATACTCGCGGTTGAGGTCCGGCAGGGAACACTGGGCGTGGATGGTCGTGGTTGAGGTCCGCAGGGAACACTGGGCGGGAAGGTCGGCAAGGAACACTGGGCGTGGATGGCCGTGGTTGAGGTCGGCAGGAACACTGGGCGTGGATGAGGTCCGGCAGGGAACACTGGGCGTGGGTGGTCGTGGTTGGGGTAGGCAGGAACACTGGGCGTGGGTGGTTCGGGTTGAGGTCCGGCAGCGACCACTGTGGATCGCGGGTCGCAGTTGAGCAAGGACGACAAGGATGACAAGGAGGGACGAGGAGGAGGAGGACGAGGCAGGAGGAGGCGGAGAGGAGGAGGAGGAGCAGGAGGGGAGAGGAGCAGGAGGAGCAGGAGGAGGAGGAGGCCACAACTGACATAAAATCTAACAACCCTCACCTGGCAGGGGGGAATAACCAACCCTTGCAAAACTCAACTTCCCTGGAATAGGTCAAAAATGCCAAACCTGATCCAAATTGACCCAAACTGTCTGAAAGAATCAAACCATGAGAACCCAATTATTTTGGGGGTGGTTAACTACTAAACCACCTATGATTTAGACCATCGATTTTTGGACAAAGAAATCTGAATCGACCCCTTCCTACCCCATAAATTATTTTGGGGGTGGTTAACTACTAAACCACCCCAGAAATAATAATAGCCTAAACTGGCAAAATTAACTTCCCATTGAGTAGTTCAAAATCCAAATTGCCTCGAACAGACAAACCCTGAGATTTACCATGAATTACTTGCTGAACTAATTATTTTTAGAACATCGACTTAGCATCGGCTTTTGGGCAAAGAAACCTGAATCGATTCCTCTCTCCCCAGAAATTATTTTGGGGGTGGTTAACTACTAGACCACCCCAGAAATCCAAAAAAACCTAACCTTGCAAAACTCAACTTCCCTGGGATGTGTTGGGATTGACGGGATGTGGCTTGAATGAAGTTGGAAATGGCTGCAGATTGATTCAAAGAAGATCCTGACTGAACATGTTGAAATATGTAGTTGAAATTTGATGTAATATGCTGAAATTATTTTGCAGGTGGTTTGCAAGTACCCCCACCCCATGAAATAATTTTCATCATGGGTGTCTGGTAATTATTTTATACAGTTGGAACTATATGAAATAATTTCCCCAGTTCAACTGAGAAATTATTTTGAGGTGCCTTAAGTTGTTTGTTTAAAATTATTTCAAGGTGCTTCAACCTCTGTAGGTGGAAAATTATTTTGCACCATCATCAAGGTACGGGTGCAAAAATTATTTTGCTATGGCTCTTGTCGGGTGATTTTAACATAAAATTTATGTTAAAAATGGAAATTATTTTTAAAAAAATATTTTGGAACCAACCCCCACCTCAAAATAATTTCCTAAGGTAGGACGCATGTTTTTTCCAGCGTTTACCCGGCTACCTTGCGGGGTGGAAACGCTTGAAGCAACCGATGGGTAACAGCTTCCATGACGTCAATCGCCATCCGAGCTTCCGGTTCAGCTTCTTCCGCCTCAACATCAGCCGGTTGATGGGAAAATCTACGCCAAAAAAAACAAATGGACCCTGCAAAAATGGGAAACCTACGCCAAACATCTTACTGGAAATACGTTCAACAGCCAAATATCGGAACGTCCTGCAAAATCTTCCCACCAATTCTGCGAGAAAATATGCAACTGAACATGTGACAGAACATGAAAAGAAACTTAGGGGTTGGCCAGTTTTTGGATCCTCATGATCGCCAAGGTTTTTCAAACATCGTTGGACATGTCAAAAGATACAGACTCGACTGACTGCAAATTCATTGGAGTTGCATCCGGAAACACCTTGGCCCGAGTCTTTTGGCACCCCATTTGTCACCCAAGAAAAATATGGCAAAATCATGTAGAATCAAAGTGTAAAATGAGCAAACTAGTCTACTAGGACCAAAATGTTGGCTTTCAGTGGTATGTACGAAGGCTGGAATCAACAGTTGTCGAAAAACCGTACCAAGAAAAACAAACTCCTTGTGCACAGAAAACTCGTTGGATGTCACTGGTTTGTACTTAACATATCTATCTACTGTTCATCATATATAGTTGTAAGTATCAATATCATATATCAATATCAAAATCAGAATCAATATCAATCTATTATATACTTCCACTATGTATATATTATACTGTATATATAATATAAAGATATAAACTCTACAGTATAAATATCTACGGGCAAAGATGAAAACCACCAGCCAGTCATGGCATGATCCACTCCTCCGCTCCATCTTCATGTTCGGGTTCCTCTTCGGCTTCATCCTGCGCTCAACGGGTGACTCCCGTCCTTGGGGTGCGGGGATGATGTCAACCCCGATTTTGTTTTATGGAAATTCCTAGGATGGTGAAGGGGGGGAGTAGGGGCTAGCATAATTGACTAGCAAACTAGATAATAGATCATTTTTAGCTCAACCAGGGCTTTTGAAGCTGGGGTTGACAGTATAAAACATGGAGGATCCTAGAGACCCTGTATTGTGTTTCTTAGCTGGGTACTTTATATTGCCCCATGTATATTCAAAGGACGGCAAAGGAAAACAAAAACTAAATCTACCCATCCAAGGTTTATTCAGAAAAACATGAACAAGGCGGAACGCTTGCCTTGTTTCAGGAAATGGATGGACGAACCGAGGGACCCAGGCTGTAATCCAGCAAACTTTGCAGACCTTGTACCCGTGGAAGCTGCTGGGATGGATCTATTGGCCGTGGCACCAAGTGCACAGGGTTAAGAACTTCTCAGCCTTGTCAGCTGGCGGCTTTGTTAGGTCATCACCACTGACTAGGTTTGGGAATCGTAGCAAGACGATGCAAGACGCAGGGCGTTTCATCTTATGATTCTCAGGCTATTTTCTAAAAGCGAGGATATATGCATACACAAAGCTAGGGCAGCAGTGATGGCTACAGCGAGGAATCAGCAACCTTTCTCCAGGTTCCGGGTTCTGGAGCTCCAATCTACGCCTCGATATGCCTCGATGACCCCCTTTTTGCTGGGGGTTCTTTTCTGAAGGATCCAACAAAAACCATTGGTTTCCCTCTTTCACTTGACTGACTATATAACGCTATATAATTGGACGTAATTTTGGAGAGTTCTGTTTAAGAGAACCCCATTTTAGGATAGAAAAGTACAGGTTGATTCCCCTTTGAATATCTTTAAATGGCATCCGTGCTTTTCATCTCAGGGTCGAGTGCTTTTTTCATAAAATCCAGGATCAGACCCAAGGGACCTCTGTGTCAAATAATGGCGGGAACACTCTTTTCAGAACATTTGGGCGCAAAATTGCAAACACATGGGTTTTTTGTTGTTGTTGTTCTTTTTTTTGCACAAAAGCTGATTTTGCAGGTTTTTCATTTTTCATTGCCTTTTCACTGTTTTGGTTCATGGTCTTTTCACTTTTCACGGGTCACTATCTTCTCAAATCTCGAGGCTGTGCCCAACCGGGGTGTGACCTTGCTGGCTAAGTCTCAGAAAATTCGACCTCGAACATAATGTCAACCTCGGATTAACAAACCATGGTTTACTAATGCTTATTAATTTGGGGCGGTACTCCTCCAATAGTCATAATCTGATACTTGAATGGTATCCCCCCAATTAAACAGCCTATGGGTTTATTAATCCAAACCTGACATTAATCACATAGAGAAAACCTCAGTCCTGAAGGACTGGTTTTTCACCAGGCCGCAAAGGCTCTAGCGAGGACGGCTATGACCGACAGGGTCACTTCAATGTATTTTTAACAGTTGATTTTCTACATAGAAGATCATTCCAATTGATATCAGCATAGTGTCGATTCTATATATGGCAGTGTGTCAAAACCTTGTACCCCTGGTGAACATCAAAATAGCTGGTAAATGGATGTTCATCCCACTAAAAATTGTATTAATAGGTATTGATCCATACCCATATTTCTATAATGATCTCATGAAGTCACAGTCACTAAATACCATTGGCCATTGATAGAAATCCATCCGCTGTCGGCTCCTCATCGGAAACTGCCACAACAGCAGAGTCCTACAGAGGCCGTCTGCGGTCATTTTCATTGGTGGCTGGAACAAGAAAAAATCTGGAAGAGAGTTCAAAATACATGGCATGATAAACTCACTACATTAGCAGCATTAGCATTCTGGTACACATCAGCCCTGCTGCACCTCAGCCTCTGGAACCTCTGGAACCTCTGGAACCCCGTGCTCCTGGGAATGAGGAATGGATGGGTGGTACCTTACTTGGGGCCGCATTCCAACTGGAAAGTGGTTGATAACCCAATTATAGCTGTGGTCCGATATATCCTACACTTAAACTGGCTTATAACAGATATTACCAACTTACTAAGTGCGTCCTTGAGTCATTGATCTTTCAAGACGCTGCTAAAAAATAAATTTTCGGGAAACATCCAATTCATCTTGCACATAATAAAGGTCGAGTAATACCCAACATTCAACGTTTCGAGATTTTGGAACTGTGGGGTCAGTACAGAAACGCATCCACCAAGGCAACGCTGGGTTCCAGCGTTGCCGCTCAACGGAGAAAAAGGGGGAACAACAGGATGCGGTCGCAGTCTCATTGAGATCTTTGAAACCAGAACACATCTAACTATGTGATTATGTGATTCGATTTGTGTTTATCTCCCCGGTCAAATCCAGCCAATTAGCTGCTTGGTGAAAACTAGGATCCAGCCAGATCAATCTTCATATTTCTTCGAATAAGACCACTTTTCAGACACACCCAAATGAAATAAATCAAATCTTCCCGACTTGAACCGCCATATCTTAAATCCCAATTTTGATGACAAAGATCCACCAATGTTCATAGTTATCCATGGTTATCCCTTATGTTTTTCCACATCTAATATCATATAATCCAATGCAAACATGCAGTCCAAACATGGTCCCAACATGTCCCAACACAGCGCCTGAGTGAACATGGATTGAAGGAAGAGATTTGCCTCCATGGCAGTTTTCGTGCAGGGACCGCAACGGGTTAGTAACTGAGGCTACTCATTGGTAATTCAACATAGCTACCAAAAAATCGGACCTTTCATAGATAATCTACAATTGACTCGATGGTGTTTGTCAAAATCTATGTTAAATGACCAGAGGGTTGTTCACTATGAAGGAAGGCATCATCTGGCTGAACTATGTCACTTCACCAAGCTGAAAACGTTCAGCCAGGGATAGTTACCCCATGTTACCCCTATTGACCATCATTCCAGTGCTGTGTCACGACATGTCACGACGTGAGGTTGGACATGATGGGACAACCCCCTGAATCGTTCCCTAAAAATCCAGGCATTTTTTTCAGGGGACAATTGGACAATCATCCAATCATTTTGAATGGAGGAGATTGGCATATTTGATTACCAGAGGGAATTGATGACGTCCATTGAGTCCATTGGTCTTCCCTATCAATAAAACTATCAAAACAGGGTACCATGTTGAAAGAGTGGACCAAGAGTGCTCATTGCCGATGTCCCCGATCATGGCTCAATGCCCGCCAATAGGTCGAATACGCCCAACGAGGGTAGAGATGGGTAGATCCAATGTTAAACCAGCGCTTCCAACACATCAAACAACGTCAGCACCTCTGGATTTTATCTGCACATCCGAGACAGCGCGGTCTCCATGTCAACGGCACGCGTTCTGATCTTGAACTCGCCACCGCACATTGGATCGCCCCATGCCACTAGTGAGCCGTCTGACCGGAGTGCGGCAAATGCTTGCCCGGTGGCCTGAATCTGCCGCACGTTCTGCAGCTGATCTTTAACTGTGGAGTTGTCACCACCAGAGTCGTCAATGCCCCAAGTCACCACTGATCCATCTGCCAGGATTGCAGCAAATGCGCTGACAGTGGCCTCAATCTGCTTGTCATTACTGAGGCGATCTTGGACGGCGGAGCTGTCACCGCCAGAACCTCGATGGCCCCACGTAACCACAGATCCATCTGCCAGGATTGCAGCAAATGCAGAAGATGTGCCCTGGACCTGCTGCACGTTCCTGAGCTGACCGCTGACTGCAGAGCTATCACCGCCGGCATCTGGGCTGCCCCACGTCACAACTGAGCCATCTTCCAAGATGGCAGCAAAGGCTTCACCTGTAGACCGAACCTGCTGCACCCTCCGAAGCTTGTGTTGAACGTTTGAGCTGTCGCCACCGTTTTGTGGATGGCCCCAAGTCACCACTGACCCATCTGCGAGGATGGCAGCAAATGCAAGCTCTGTAGCTCGAATCTGCTGGACACTCCTGAGCTGATCTTGGACATCAGAGCTGTCGCCACCAAAATCAGAATCGCCCCAAGCCACTACTGATCCATCTTGCAAGATCGCAGCAAATGCGCAGTTAGTGGCTTCAATCTGCTTGACATTCCTGAGGCGATCTTGGACGGCGGAGCTGTCACCGCCAGAAGCTGGATGGCCCCACGTAACCACAGATCCATCTGCCAGGATTGCAGCAAACGCACAAGATGTGCCCTGGACCTGCTGCACGTTCCTGAGCTGACCGCTGACTGCGGAGCTATCACCGCCGTCATCTGGGCTGCCCCACGTCACAACTGAGCCATCTTCCAAGATGGCAGCAAACGCACCAGCTAGGTACTCGGGGTCAGTCGGCGGCGCTTGATATATTACTGATCTGGTTCCCTGGACCAGCTGAACACTTCCAAGACTGTCTTGGACTGCAGAGCAATTGCGGCTGATCGTGTCGTGGCCCCAGGTAACGATTTGATCGCCTCCATCAGACCACAATGCAAAAGCCCCTGCTGTTGCGGCTAACTTTGCTTGCTGTACAACTGCAGTCAGGTGGTCTCCATCTGACACCCCTGCAGCTTCGAGTGATTTCCCGGGATCTTTTAGGACATGTCCCTCAGCAGTGACAAGACTCAGGAAGTTTTCTCCAAGAATTTTCTGGGCCAAACGTTTCAAGTCCCCTACTTTGGAGGACTTTGCAAGTTCAAGTTTTTGTCGTTTATTTCCGCTAGGTGGGGCCACAGTAACTTGAAGCATCTATGAAGAACAATGAAAAATCAAAGCTGAACAATTGCAATACATCTCGAGCCAAATCCAGTGACCTGGGAGAAACTTGGGGGTGCAGCTTAACTACGCGGAAAATTCTTATAGAAAATATAGTATATATAATATTATATATACAATATGCAATATATATATACACTATATATATTATATATTATATATTAAATATTAAATATTATATATTATATATTAAATATTATATATTATATATTATATATTATATGTTATATATTATATATAATATATTATATATTATATGTTATATATTATATATAATATATATCATATATAATACATATATACATATATTATAATATAATTTTTATATATATGATATATATAATATATATAATATATATAATATATATAATATATATAATATATAATATATATAATATATATAACATATAATATATATAATATATATAACATATAATATATATAATATATATAATATATAATATATATATAATATATATATATAATATATAATATATATAATATATATAATATATATAATATATAATATATATATATATTACATAATAAATATATATATAATATAATATACTTATATATATAATGATATGTATAATAAAATATATATATATATCATATATATATAATAAATATAGTAAATATAATATATAATATTTATATTATATTATATTAAATATTATATCATATTATATTACATTATATTATATTATTGTATATTATATTATATTATATTATATTATATATATATTATATATTATATATTATATATTATATAATAATATAATATAATATAATATCATATCATATAATATATTATATTATATATATACTATATAATATAGTATATATATATAACTAAATATAATATATATAACTTAATATAATATATATATATATAGTACCACCCCCCCCCAAAAAAAAAAAAACGTAATTTGTCACTATGTGAGTGAGATTTTACTTTTCGATCTTTTTAGGGGGTGACTATATGTAATTATGCATATCCATAGGAGATATCTCCCAAGTCCCCACGGCCTGAATGGAACGATACATGGGTTTGAAAATAGGGTACCCTGGGTACCCCCAAATTTCATGGTGAATCAATGTGAATCATGAAATATGTCCCACTCAAATTCTGACTTTATGATGTTTTATGGGTACCAAAACAGAATATGGACGTATATGAAATGTTTTATGGGTATTTTATGATGAAATTTATTGTGGGTATATCTCACTTTCAGAGACCCAAATATGGACGTAAAATATCATGAGATTTCCACAAGTAACGTGAACCGGACACGCCAATACGAAACATGTGTCGCTTTTCTTCGGCAGGGTGGATAAATTATCCACCATGATGATGGAGACCCCTATTTTGGGTAGCTTAGACCTCTGCAGTTGTTGGTCTAATTCCCATTTTATCATGCATTTTCGTTGGTAAATATGTATAATATATATATATATATTATATATATCGATATTTAATGAAAATCCCTAATTCTTTGAAACCAACGCCGACTGACTATGTTACAGAGGCAATAGTGTATATATATATATATAATTATATATATTATCATCCCCCGCCCCGGTCCCCGGACAAAAGGAAACGGATATATAATCTTGTACAAAATCGTGGTAAAATGCGTTTCCGTCCTTTTTTAATGGCTCCATGTTGCTCCCTCTCTCTCTCTATCTAGATATGTCCCGTGCTTGCTGATTCATTTATGAGTTTGTCTGAAGATCGGGTATGCCCAAAATTGCTACATGAATTGGGAAACTTATCATTCACCATCTTTAACACTAATAGATTATATAAGCAGCAGCATCATTAATCAGGGTTTGGGCGGGATTTCCTACCCTCTGGTTATTTGACGAATTCAACGTAGCTATGGAAATCACCATTTTTAAGAGGTAAATCATCATAAATCATCTATAAATGGGCCATTCTCTATGGAAAACTGTTAAGTTGCTCCCTGGCCACCCCCAGATAGGTTTGGGGGGTTAAATGACTAATGTCATTCGTTAAAGAGGTCAAATGGGGGCTACAATTCACTTCTAATGGCTTGGGGATTCACCATATTCATCCCATCAATCACTCATGGAGATTCACCAGCTTTTAACATGAACCAGCTATTCATAGGTAGCCACGCCACGATTCATAGATATTAAGATATATATGGCCTGACAAATGGTACTAACGTACCTCCATCAATATAGATCCTGAAATTCTTTAAGTTGATATTAAGATATATAATATATAATTTATATTATAATATATATATATGTAATTAGATATATTAAGTCTTAAGTTGACCATATGCCATTCGTATCCATGCGTCCCAGTCCAAAAATGGCTCCGCGATCCCGGCCTGATCCGCTGCCCACGAATCCAGGCCGTCCAACTCTGGCACGACCGCTGCCCCAGGTGCCCCAGGTGCAGACATGGGAGAGACCTGGCGACAGGATTTTCTTCCGGGGAATCCACCGGGGAATCCATAAGGGATATGATATAAGCATTAATACAAGCCCAAGCTGAGGTCCCCAAATAAATATAAGTTACATTTAAGTTGCCAAAAAATCCCATGAATAGCGATGTTCTCCAAATTAAGCCTAGAATTCACCAAGTTATCAGTCCAGCTATCTAGCCCGGGCCGCACCGTGGATTTCAAAAGTGTGGATTTCACCGGCAATAAATGCAATTTCACCCACCAAATGAACCCAGCTTCGCAACCCAACAGTCAATGGATTTCTTTTGCTGGGAAAATATGGCAAAATGTTAGCCAGAAATACTATGGAATGTCCCATGAAATTGATTGGGGTTTTCTGAAAACATGTTCCCTTAAACCAAGTCTGCGCGGATAGCATTCTACCAATTGTGAATGGGGATATTTGATCTTCACAATGGGTATAGGGTGGATATGACCAACAATGGTATGAAATGGCTTCTCTGTACAGCCAATTGTTGGTTGGAACTTATATAAGCAAAGACCTATGGGAATATACGTGAGAACAACAAGCAGTAGCTGGTTAGTCTGGAAGTTTGAAATCCCACATGTGAACATATGTCAACATAGTGACTTGTTGTTTTGCCACCAAGTGTTGCACACATCCATATTGTGAATTTCCAGCCATCAACATGACTTTGTCGGTCTCCAATGTACTGTATCTCACTGAACATGTAATCATGGGTATTCAGCCGCGGAAAAAATGGTTATCATCCACATGATATCCACACAAACTTGGATTTGCTAAAAAAGAAACCTTTAAAAAGTAAACAGATTCCCCTTTTCGATTCCCCAATCACGTGGTGAATTTCCCCTTAGGAAAACACGCCTTGAATCAACGAGCAAATCAACGCCTCGCCACTTGGCACTTCGGGGATTTCCGGTTCAACGGCCGCTTCGGGCAGCACCGCAGCCTGCTGGAGGTGTCAGTAGAGGAGATTTTGCCAACAAAATTGGGGATTAGACCACCAAAACAACATCAAAAACTGGTTTCTGGTTTCTCCGAACATGGACTCCAATCCTGTGCTGTATTAGCATATTTTCATACATTTTCGCCATTGAAATTGTTGGGGAGGTACGATTTCACACCCGTCTGACCAACAAAAAGCAAGTAGAATTTCTTATGATTCAAGCGATGCAGGCAGGGATTTCACCAACAAAGGCAAGGATATGACAGTGATTGCACCAAGGGCCATGGACATTTCATGGTTTTTTTTGTAGCCGCTATAGTAGCCAGCAGACACACAAAAAGAAACTGATTTGAGGGATCTCTTCGTGAGGATTCAAATGGCACAGTTAGGAATTAAAAAAAGGTGAAGAATCTTTGGAACAACAGGGATTCCAGATGATTCCAGGCAACATATTCGGGAAATCCCTAATTGTGACATTAAACTATTGAATTGGCAAGTTTGATTAAGTTGTGTATTTTATCACGTTTCCACAGGACCCAGTTACATCCCATGGCATTCACACGTGCTGCTGGTCATACCATGTCATACCCCTTTCTTTGATGGTTATGTAAGCCCCATATTTTGTTAGTTAAACCACTATTAACCCAATGAATGTTATTCTTTGGTTGGCTTAATATCCCCAACATAACCCCAAATCAAATTGCTTGTAGGATCGCAATGATATCACCAAAAAAAACTCTTCTCTAGCCTCTATCCCCAAATTGCTGGTAATCTTACCGTGCATTGTTTGTTATACCCTAATTCTTGATGGTAAAACCTTATATATATATATACTATATTGCCATTCAACGTTATACTCCCATTCGATTCCGATTAGATTCCCATCGTCTTCCCATAAAACCCATCGTTTTCCTAGTCAACCATCCTAAAAAGGGTTACAGTAGTTGAGCATAATCAGATTTTGTTCGGGAACCCGTAGTGTAATGGATTCTCATTATATGTCCATTTCATTCCCATTGCATTTCCCAAAAGACCCCATTATTAAAATATCCCCGTTCGGTTCGATTAAGATCCTCATTAAACACCTTTAAATCATCAATGAAAATTCAAATCCCATTGAATCAGCACTAAATCCCACTCAATTCTCAACGTACATCCCATGACGCCACCATTGTTCGAAGTAGATTAATGTCAACCCCGGATTAATAAACCATGGTTTATTAATTGGAGATAATTGGAGGGCTATTCCCCCAATAGTCATGATTTGATACTTTTTAATGGTACCTTCCCAATTCAACAGCCTAGCCTAGGGGTTAATGAATCCAGGGTTCAAATCATCATAATTTGACTCACCTGAAACTTGCAGCCTCGCAAGGGGAGAAATTCACTGGTCGCCTGCGGCAGGGCAACTGGAGCGTGCTCTGGAGATCGCAGACTCTCGACCTGCGACCGGCCATAGGGTAACTTGGCATTGTTGGGGGGATGAAATGGCAATCTAATCATGTACAATATGGATCAATATATGGCAATAATGGAAATAGGGAATGGGATTTTACATGGGATTTTTCCAAGGGATCTATTGATTTCTTTGGATTTCATTGGATCTTGAAGGGATTTCATAGGGATTAAAATCACCTGTATTGGAATAGAATCTGATATCAGCAAGAATTATCGCAATTTATGTCAGTGGATTTTCCAAACATGATCAAAATCAATTGGTTGTGGGATCTATACAAATTGTTGACCCAGACCCACGAACCAACTTTTTGGGCATGCTGGAGTAGTTGAGCTCTCCCTGCATTTTCTTGGGGCCATGTTTTTTGAAAGTCCAATCGGACCATAAGTATTCCTCACCCTTGGATATTCTAAGTGTTCCCTTTAAAAAACGAATCCAGCATACTTTCTTAGCATCATGGTATATCATCATTCTTGGTGGTTTACCTCATAATTCAATATATGATCACATATGTATATATATATATATATAATCAGATATAAAATTTATAATTAAATGATATCATATGTATATCATACACATAAATGCCAGATTTCCAACTTTTGAACTGTATTCAAGGTTGCTTCCCTTTCGCCGCGCACCTTCGGTGGAGAAACAACCTGCACCAAATCATGGGGGACTTTGTTCCGAGTTTTGGAAACCGTTTGCGATGGACAAATGCCTATAGAAATAGATGATAAAAATAGATCTAAATACATAAACATGATGATTAATTAGCTATTAAATTATATATATACAGTATATTATATATATATTATATATATATATATAAATGATGATTAGATGATTAGCTAGCTATAAAATGATCATTTTCAGAGCTACGTTAAATGACCATAGGGTAGGTACAGTCTAAAACGCCATCTCCGGTAGATGAAAATGGCTGTGGAATGGCAAAGGGAAGCAGCAACAATCGAGCTACAAAGGTTCACTGGAAATGGCCAGCTAGGAGGAAAAAAATCGTTGGAACATGTTGGAAGACCATTTTTTGTACCTCAGAGTGTGGCTGGAAGTAGAAATTCACATGAAATGAACTGGAGAGAAATTCACAAGTCAAGAAGTGGAGACGCAATCAAGAGACATGTAGGATCATGGTAGGCATGTAGCCAAAACAATATCAATAAAAAAATCCATAGTTGCATGATGTTGCATAACAGCACGGCCCCCAAAAAAAGACATGCTGGAGAAGGGCCGGGATTTCACCCAGCTGAGTTTCTGGTTGGTGGTTGAGCCCTACCCCTCTGAAAACTATGAGTGAGTAACAGTTGGGATGATGACATTACCAACTGAATGGAAAAATAATCCAAATGATCCAAACCACCAACCAGTTTTATATAAGTTGACCATCAACAAGCTCAACAACCAGTGGAACCACTTGGTTGATTTGCAGAAACATCAGACTTGAAACCTGCAGGCAGCCAATAAGCGGAGAAAACCGCCAGCAGGACGAAAGCAGTGTCACTGTCCTGAGTGTCCTGAGTTTCACACTGGTGTCCTGGAAAAAAAAACTGCCAGGATACCCTCTGGTTATGTCAAAATAGCTATTGAACATATCCAATTTATACTTAATTCACCTATTCAAAATGGTGATTTTCTATAGCTATGTTAGTTTACCAGAGGGTAACCCAAATCACAGATGAGCTGATTCGATTTTCAAGCCACTTTAGGGTCCTTTATGTGTTTGTCCAAACATGTCCAAATATGGCTGAGAAACTCGTTTTCACCATGGTATTTCAGTACCATATTGCTGTTACACCCTTGCACACCCGAAGACGCCTCGGCTGGCGGTAAGGCTTCCTGTTGGATCAGCATGAATCAAGATTTGGTGGTCCGCTTGTCACTAGGCTGACTACTTGGATGTACATTCCAGGCACTGCAAGGTGCTTGTAGTTATCCATATATAATTGCGGTAACCCAGATATACTGCAATTGGGGATACTCATGTGTCATTGCTGTATTTTACATATATATATATAATAAATAGTTATAAACCACTTGCTATGCCTGGGATGCAGGCATCCAATGCTAGAGTTTTTGAGGTAATTATCCATGGTTATATATTTAACATAGCCATGGTATAGATGGCCCATAGAAATAGATGGTTTACCTATTAAAAATTGTGATTTTCCATGGCTATGTGAAAAAACCAGATGGTATATGTATAAACTTGGCCATCTGCCGTTGTAAAGATATTCCCTCAACTGGAAGTACGTAACCTTGTCGTCTCCCCATGAATCCATGCGAGCCTATCGACCAACAGGATGGACCGTCTATTCGCCAAAGACTGGATACATTCAGAATCATTAAGATACTTACAAAAATACAGAAAAAACTATCAGTATCATTCAATATCTACATCATACAACAAAAAATATCATCTACGTGTACTATTACTATTACATACTATTACTATAGTTCAGTACCAAGTAAAATTCAGTAGCCGTGGTTTGCTCCAAGAACGTTCAACCGCCCTGACTGATGTCCTTGGCAACGACCTGAAGGTCCGAAAAAAAATCACAGCCCCCATGATCCGATGATGGGACCCCGATCCAGAAAAAACCACGACGCTTTAGAGATTGTTATGAAAATCATAGGGGAACAAAAAACTGAATCATTCTGAATCATTCTGGTATCTTTTCCCCAAAAAATATATAAAGTATCCAACTCTCCCGTGAACCAGGTGTCCATGAATACATATGAATACCCTTAGATAAGCTATCATTGTCAGTATTGATGCCGCAATTAAGGTCAATCCCACATTTTGACACATCCAATGCTAATACCCATAATTGCTTGCTAGATTTCGGAATATCCCAATGAAATCCAATTCTTCCTTGGTGAAGCCTTTTTTATTCTCACCTTTGTTGCCTAAACACCTATGAAATTCCATCTTTGCACTATTCTGGTTGGTGGTTTCAACCTACTCTGAAAAATGATGGAGTGAGTTCGTCAATTGGGATGATGACATTCCATTCCCAACTTTTCATGGAAAGTCATGTCATCCAGTCATGTTCCAGTCACCACCAACCACTGAAGTCCTATGAAATTCCCATCATTTTGCTGCTCGAATCCCCATCTTTGCTCTCGGCCGCCCGGCAGGCACCATCATCTGCGGAGCAGGTGTCGCGACCTCAGGGAGTTGGATGGGTTCCGATTAGCGGGATGAAATCTGATTTGTTGGGTTCAAATTATGTTTCAATGGATTGGTTTAAGGGAAAATTTTAACCGGAAAACCCAATATTTAATGGGGAAAATTGATGGTTTCCGGTTAAGATTGTCCCTTAAACCAATCCATTGAATGTTGTATGATTTTATATGATTCTATACTATTTTATATGATTTTTATTTGGATTTTATAGGGATAATCACCGGATAATCATGGGATAAGAACGGAACATTGTTGAAATCTATGCATATCATTCCTGGGATTTCACGGATATATCAATCTGGCTGAATTATCGATATACATTTTAATGGGGGTTGATTGATAATGGAAGATATTCTGGCTGAAATGTTGGGCCGTTGGGCCGTTGGGCCCTTCCGCGGGTTGATTCCCCTCAATCCAAGATCACTTCGCGAGCCTTGGGGGTGCAGTTGGGGATTCAAAGCTCCATAAGTTGGGATATCCCTACAACTATGGTGAAATATGACCCGCTTATTCATGGAACTGCACACCAGGTAGGGAGGAACTATGATTAAAAAAAATGCCATTGACAAAATCTGAAGATGTCAATAGCTTATCAATAGGTTAGCATTTAATACAATAAAGTCAATGCTGAATTTCATCATGCTCGAATGAACAATTGTTAATGTTTCAATGCTAATCATGAAAATAATATCCTAATCATGTGATGAAATCATGGAGAATCTATGTCAAATTGGGACAATTATGTTTATGATGCACCGTCCAAGCTAATTCTGTAAAGCGCATTGTTTTATTTTTAAGCAAAAAAAAAGCGATTTAGCCATTTTGAAAAAAGCAAAAAAAAAAAGCGATTAAAAAAAAGCAAAAAAAAACAAACAAAAAAGCAAAAAAAAAAAGCAAACAAAAAGGCAATAAAAAAGCAAAAAAAAAGCAAGCAAAAAGCAAAAAAAAAGCAATTGGAAAAAAACAACAAAAAACACTTGGAGTCGCTTTCGCTGAGAATGTCATCCCACTTTTGGAGCTTGCAGATGAAAGAGTATGCCTCGGATCGTGGCAAGGCGCCTGGGCACATGAACTTTGGCTAGGTTTGGGGGAAACTTTGCAGATTTGGCTGCTCCATCCGGGAAGGTGGTGAAGGTGGCTGGAAACTTGGGGGGACCCCCTCGTCTGGAAGGGGGGGTCCTCCCAAATCGTTTTTTTTCGCTTTTTTTTCGCTTTTTTTTTTTTTTGCTTTTTTTTGCTTTTTTGTTGCTTTTTTTTCGCTTTTTTTCTAGGAAAAAGCAAAAAAAAAGCGATTTTTGACCCCGCCTCCTCCCAGGATCCCCCCAGCCAGGTCCCGGGGTAGGGTCAGCCAGGGGGTTGGACCCCCCAGCCCAGGTCCCGGGGTAGGGTCAGCGAGGAGGTTGGACCCCCTTCTGGGAATGTCGGGTCCAGCTGAGTGTGCAGGCCTCTTTCCATTGTCACCTGCGTTTTTTCCATTGGTTCTTGCGTTTCTTGTTGCCATTGCCTGCTGGTTTCATTGCTTTCCTGTGTTTCTACTTGTTTTTTTTTTTGCTTTTTCAAATCGCCTTTTTTATGCCTTTTTTGGCATGTTTTTTTCCAATCACAGTTTTTTTTGCTTTTTTTTTTGCTTTTTTCAGGCGCGTTTTTTTTGCATTTTTTTTGCTTTTATTTTGCTGTTTTTTTGCTTTTTCAAATCGCTTTTTTTTTCGCTAAAAAAAAAAAAGGTTTACAGGAGTTAGCTTGTATAGCAGACAACATAAAATTATGTCCTCAATCAATGATTCTAGTGCCATTTTTTTCAGGAGAGAGCCTCGTGGATATAGTTATGGTGAATCTTAGAATCTTAGATTAAGTTGTACTAGCTAGCTAGTGTCTAACCAGTGGTTGACCCAGTTATAAGTATCACAAACAAGAGTTAAATCATCCATCTTAATAGGACGTTCGATTATGTTCCATTATAAACAATCCATTTTGGGGTACCCCCCAAGATGGTATCTTAAGTGGGAACATGATGATAAAGAAATGGAGGATGCTCCGAAATCGCACAAGGTGGTACCCTAGCTTGGGACCGATAGATTGGTGCACATAACTACATTTTCACTAGAGTTGAAGATAGATATATTTTGGTAGAGTATATTTAGGTAGATAAATAGATAGATCAATAGATAGATAGATGGGTAGGTAGGTAGGTAGATAGATAGATAAATAGATACAGTAGATAGATAGATATCTGTAGGTAAGGGTGGTTATAAACCGGCTATCGACTTTAATTGATTGAAACATATCCCTTGCCCCCATAAAGTGAACATTAAACCCATTTAATCTCCATGCCCAGCGGGGAAATTTGAGGATCCTGGCCACAGGAAGCTCCACCTTAAGCATGGAGCTCGACAGTTGGCACAAAAAACCATGGAAATATCTTCAGATGCTCCAGAATTAAGACTCTTTTGCTCAGTAATATATATATATATAGATACAGTATATTATGTATATACATATATCATATCCTCAAGTATCTATGGTTTCTTCACTAAAGCAAGCAACCATTGGCCCCTGCCGAAGCAAGTTGTGTTTCTGGACATTCCAAGATCTCCCGGCTGGATCATCTTTTGCATCCCAGGAATGGTACGATGTCCATTGATAGTTAAATAAATATACATAATTCTATATATATATATATATGTATATGTACATCATTATATACAGTACATATATTATACACAATTGGGGATATTCCTATATAATTTTAAAAAAATATATATTTATATTTATTGTATAAATATGGGAATATATGAGATATAATTCCTTCTCAGGTATCCAACATTCCCTCCAAAATCATCGGGTGTCCAAGTGATAACACACCCATAGAATCCCATAGGTCTAATGAGACATAAAGCCACTATAACCATTATGTACAGTAACTTATCTGGTTGGTGGTTGGCCTACCCCTCTCAAAAATATGAAAGTCAGTTGGGATGATGACATTCCCAATATATGGAAGAATAAAAAATGCTCCAAACCACCAACCAGTTACAGTAACTTATGATTAAGTATTCAACTGAGCAGTTTGGTATAGATATCCAAGATGTCATTTACATCTAGGTCCACCATGTATACATCCAATCCAACATCCAACTGCGGGCCTTGACGTCAACAGGGGAAGCCACCTGAGGCCCGGTAGTACGGTACAGAAGTTCATTTAGTTAATTTGGGGAAACATGTGCAGGAAACCATGGTATTTTTCAGTAATTATACCCTCTGGTAAACTAACATAACTATGGAAAATCACAATTTTTAATAGGTAAACCATCTATAAATGGGCCATTTTCCATGGCTAGGTTAAATAACCAGATGGTATAGGAGGTTGTTGTAAATCATCCTTCATCGAATTCAAGGGACCATGGCAAGACTGGCCAACAGGACCTACGCTTGGATCATGCGCGGCGTCCCTAGGCCACCAGAATCTATCAATGTCGGTTTGAACTGGGCGGGTCATAATGCTCCATAGGTAAACCTTCAAAAACGATCAAACTACCCATCTAAGGGTTCCCCAGTATCCTCACTTCTTCTTGATAAGGTCCACAAACTCCGGGCCTCTCTGTTGGACATTGGAAGAACCTAAACTCCCCGATAATGCTATCCCCTGCGCTGGACCTCAGAGACTTCGGCTTTCTCCTGGCTATGGAATGATGTTCGAAATGTCTTGGAACTTCATGCTTCTTATTCCGTCGCTCGCAACACTTCAGGGGTCGGTAAATGTCTTAATTACCTAATTTGTTCACATCACCCAACTATTGGGGATGTAATCTCCAACAAATACTTGAAGGTGATGTTCAAAATTCACAACCCCCAAATACCGAGTTTCCCGCCTACCTGTGTTTCAACCCATCCTCGTCCCTTTTACCAAATTCATTTCTATATTTGGGAGGCAACACACACCGGCTACCGGCTATACAGGCTATACCCCGAAAACACATATGTTTGTCACAGTCTACATGGATTCACCTCATGGATAACCCATGATTCAACCCAACCATCTCTACAAATTCAAATTTGCGTACAAGAAACATGTCGCCATGGTATAGACAATATACATACACTGCTCAAACACAGATCTATGTGCGTTCAATTTCAGTTTTTTTGGTGTCTGTTCACCGAAATCTTAGCCCAAAATGAACCAAATGCTGCCAAATCTATAGGTAAATACGCATAAATCAATGGTTATGAAAGAAGGATGGCCTCGCAATTTCCCAGACACTGTCAGTTGCAACGAAATCCGAGAATTTGACGTCGCCAGGAGTCCCAGAGGCCACATGTTCATTGTCTAAGTGCAGTTAATAATATCTGGTTGGTGGTTTTAACCATCTTGAAAAATATGAAAGTCAATGGGAAGGATTATCCCATATATTATGGAAAAACAACATGTTTGAAACCGTAGATTTCCTTCAGTATTCAAGCATGGCAATGGAAAACACCCATCGACACTCATTTACAAAATGTGTTCCTTCGAAAAAAAAAAAAGGATTTTCCATGAAATCACAATTTCCTGCAATCAATGGTCTTTCCTATTTCAATCCCAAAGGTTTCTAAATAAAACCACCATTTTCACGTGTAGGGTTGACTCATCTGCAAGGATATCATCCCACTTCGTACAAATGATGATCTTTAGCCATGGTTCAAATCACAAACCTATAAAGGATCCACATATATACAGTGTAGTGTATTCAAAACATACATTTAGAAGAATATAATATATGTATATCTGCATAAATACATCATCCTGAAGTAAATAGAATATGGAAACTTCGAAACATCTGCACTAAATTGGGAATATCAATATATTTGAAATTGCCTTATTCGAGAAAAACTCCAAGATGACTCTATAAAGAGGCTTGCAATCCATGGAGATAGCCAAACATAACCCTTTTTTGCTCGGATTTTCCATTATAAACCATCCACTTTTGGGTGTCCCTTTTGTGCAAACCCCTATATATATATGTATGTATATACACCCTCTGCTTCTATAAACATAGCAATTGTAAATGGACAATTTATGGATGATTTACTTGTACCGCTTAAAAATTGTGTTTATCCATAGTTATGTCTTTTTTTAAAAAAAAAAGTGTATACATATATATATATATACACATATGAAAATGCCAATGCCACGTTTCATGATCCCATCGACCCTGATGTCCCCACATCGTCCTCAAGCTCCAGCACCTGCAAGGTTCTGTTCTCGAGTCACCATTCATCAGTGTAAGAATTACAATACAATAAATATAGATACAAATACTGCCAGTATATGGCATATAAAACACATACTGTGCATTTTTTGTAATGTTTCAATAAATTTACAAATATACTATATATATATATGGAGGTTTCCGGAAATAGGGGTACCCCTAAATCATCCATTTTAAATCATTTTAATAGGATTTTCCATTCAACCATCCTGCCATTGGGGTACCCATCATTTATGGAAACCCCCCCTATACAGTATACAAAAAACATCAATTCACGTGGGGATTGGTCAAAGGCTACGACATCAAATTTGGACATCAACATCCATCTGTTGGCCTCCCAAATACCGTGGCTGCTTTAACACAAGGTGGCAGCTGATAGAAGGGCTGCTAGCATGTTTTGAAAATCACACATCGATTTTGTGTACAAAAAAGGAGTTGCCACCTGTGTTTTTTGAACCTACAAAGCGCTTTTTTCTGTTCTTAAAACATCTTCAACATATTAGTCCACAATCATAAGGTCTTTGAAGCATCGCACTTCCAACATGACATCAACTGGGATAAAGGTTAAGGCCTTCTCTTGAATGGAAGGGCCATTTTGGCAAAAGCTTGGGCATGCCACCAAATCTCAACCATCGTAAGAGCCATCCTTGGCATTTTGATACCATTCTTGACTATCAAACCACTGCGCACAGCGATGAAAGAAACAGGTTCCAAACCAATAGCCGCGAAAAAAAACAATCAAGAAGCATCAGAATCTATACAAAATACTGTGGGCACGCAGACGTGATACGCTTTCACGTCACTTGATACGCCTTCAGCCTACCAGCTAGCCGTAGATCAATATCATTATAATATGTTCCATCACTCACAAAATTAAGCAAAATCATAGCGCTCAGTCCAAAAATATAAATTTCATATCATCTTGAAAATCCCCAATATCAGTATATCAAGTGTTCCTATCTATTCGCGGGTCTCAGCCGAAGTGATGACTTTCCACCAAGAGAAGCGCGACCCACTGCACAGCCGGCCTCTTCCGAAGGCAAGGACAGGACCTCCTGGTCGGCCTCCTGGCTGTCAACACTACACCCATTGAGACATCAAAAATGGATAAACATTGTTATGGGATAAACTGATAAACATACCAATACTTGGTTAAGGGATGTTAATGGGTATCTAGTTGGATAAAAATTCATAAAATGGTGTATGTTATGGTTACTTTACCCAATAATTCTGGTACCTTTACCTTTTTCTATGGCTATTTTGAGTGTCTTAACATGTCCCGGTACCAGTGATTTTCTTCATTTCCCGGTCCGATCCCTCAATGTTGATCCACACAAAAATTTCCCGGTGGAACGGAGGTGAAACCCCTCGTTCTTTTCGGTGTACCGAGGTATAACCATTATTTAAACCCATAGATAACAAACCCATAGAATCCCATAGATCGGGACATAAAGCCATTATAACCACTATTTACAGTAACTTATGATTATCTGGTTGGTGGTTTCAACACCTCCAAAATATATGAGTCAGTTGGGATGATGACATTCCCAACTGAATGGACAGTCATAATCCAGTCATGTTCCAAACCATCAAACATCATACGTGTTCTTAAACATTTTTTAAGGAGGGTATACCATCTACATCCATCTACCATCATCCATCATAGCCCCCATTTAGTTCGATAGTGTTCCCGTTAAAAACTAGCATTTAGTTCCGGGAACCCAGCCATTTGATTGCCCAACAATAATGAAATGTCATAGAATCTATATAAAATATACCCTCTGGTAAATTAACATAGACCCTGGCAGTCATCGGGGTTGGAAGACTAGTTTCCATTAAAGATTGGTGATTTTCAGGGTCTATGTTTATTTAACAGAGGGTAAATCCCATTAACCCCATTAAAATCCCAAGAGATCTCCATACAATCCAATGAAATCTCCATAAAATCCCATGCACATACCCATGTCCATCCCGTTATTTCCCATGCACATCCCATTGTGTTGCTTAGTTCTATTATTATCTTCCCATTTTGTTCGATGCTGTTCCAATGATTTCCCATTCCAAACGCATCCGAGCGGCACCCGCACTGACCTGGCGTGTGTGCCAAATGATGGCCCGTTCAGATGGCAAATCATCGAAAAACCATGGGACTTTGGGGGCTTTCCTTGGTCTTTCGGTCTTTCCCTTTCAAGTCTCAGGAACTGGTGAAGGTGTTTTACCTTGTTTTACCTTGTTCAGGAATTCGGAATCTTGAGCCGAAATCTTCTGGTGTTCATTTATGATATTTTATGATATTTCTGGTTGTGCAGCTACCGTACCGCCCCGAAGTGTGCAAGGCCTGGTTGATTCCCATCAGGCAGTGAAGCCGGACCAGCTCTGGTGGAATGCGCTTGCCGCTTTGAGTCAAAACTCATGGTAAAAAATCACAGGTAATTCTCAGCAAGGCTCCCTTAGAATCTATACCCATGTCATCTTTCAGATCGTTTTCTGAATCCTTGGTCAAGAGCTATCCATTTTTACACCATAAACCATCATAAACCTGTGTCCGCGTGAAGGCTCCTTCACCGCAATTCCATATGATATACCCTCTGGTAAACTAACATAACTATGGAAAATCACCATGTTTAATGGGAAAATCCATTATAAATGGCCATGTTCAATAGCTATGTTAAATTACCAGAGGGTACCCTCTGGTAATCAAACATAGGAAAATCACCCATCTGATGATGTTCCCATGGAAACCTCTGTTTATCAGGGGCGAAACATCTCTGTTTCTAGGGGATTTTCCAGCCACGTTTGATTCCCGGAGGGTTAAACGACCGGCGAGCCGCTCTGGCGATCCCCCAATGCCATTGATGGTTTATTATATGGGTATGGATCAATACCTATTAATACCATTTTTAGTGGGATGAACATCCATTTACCAGCTATTTTGATGTTCACCAGGGGTACAAGGTTTTGACACACTGCCATATCCGGGTGAAGATGGTGTTACATCAAAACAACAATGGAAATGGTTTGAATATGTTTGAGCCACAAGCCGATAAAGTTGTCGTTTTCGCATCTCAATCCTCGTGTTTCTTTTCACGGCATTTTTCCGATCTTCACGCCGTACTCTTGGTACCTTTTATCGACACTTTGTTAGTGCCAAGAAGAACCACGTTTGTTCCTGAGTCACCCCACTGGCTTTTCTATCTCCATCCTCAGATGCCGTTGATGCCATGAAACCAGGATGCTTATCCATTGGGGTGCTGCAGATTTGGAGCTTTATTCTGGACTATCCATTCCTGACGTTAGCTATACGAGGCTATACCCATAAGATCCGAAGGATCACAGTTTATAATGGCTTCACCCAGACAAACATCACAGGTTGTCTGGTTTCCATATGGTTCTTGCCAGCTATCTATACACCACTGAGCATTGGTAAATCATGATAACGGCTAGAATCCACTTGCTGGGGACTTGCAGTTTACAAAGATCTTGCTGAATTGTGGTAGTGGTAATTCACCAATCCGAAAAGTCCGGCAATTTCGGGTGATTCGCGTTACTCATCATAGTGGCGCCGTCTGTGTAAGGTCATTGCGATTCACTCATATTCGCTGTTTCGTCAAGTTTCACAGCGGGAAGTGGCTCTTCATCCTTGGGCAACTCAACCTTCACCTGTTGCGAACGATGAGCCATGATGAGCACCCTAAGTTCTGGCATCGGAAAACTCACAGGAAAGGATGTGCAAATGACCACTAAGTTGACTTACTTCCCTAGGCTAACGGCGGCTAACGATTGGATTTATAGGCACAACTGGGAGACCCTTCATGTATCCCATTTTGGGACAAATGCAGTTGACCGGAAGGGATCAACAACAGCATCATTGGGTATATATAGATGTACGTAGCCCATATCATCCCAAACTACTCAGTCACTACTAGTGTTTTAACCAATCGAAAGAGGCATAACATTGGGTCAAAAAATGGATACTGGACCATGTTATGCCAAATCTTCCGCAAACACAACTAGTGCACAATCCCATAGTATTACCATGAGATGTAACCTAGACTAGGTGAATAATAAGATATCGAGATAGACTATGCAAAAACAATTCATCCGCAACTTGCATTGTTTTAATGATCACAATCTCACAGCAAAAGAAGTCTCTCCTTCTGACCACTTCCCAACTTGTTCGATCACCTAGGATGTGGTGCCCCAAACGTGCACGTCGCCCTGTATAGTGCTACAAAATGATGTCCCAGTTTGTTAGATAAGTTGGTTCATTAATTTCACTCCTGGATCGATGGCAGATATTCATCGAACTAGTTCACGGTGGGATATGACTCAACCAATTTCGCAAAGCCCAATGGGGGACACCACCTTATAGCTAGCCGTTCAAAAATATTCGGAACTTCCAGGTTCATGACCTACATAAAGTGATGCACGATGTACAGATCCCACCTTAAAGTCTGGAAAGCGATTGGCCAGCAACCTTTGACGCTTCCGTGGTACCGGCTCCTGCAGCTCCGACACTGTCAGACAGGTCCCATCCGCAAGCCAGATCCGCCAGAAGTCCCGTGATATTTACTGTATATACGGCACATTAGAAGAAGAAGATTTCAGAAGCCTGAAATAACATACTTTAGGGATAAGATGGGATAAGATGGGATAAGATGGGATAAGTCACTGGGGTGCTTGACAGTGCTTGATTGACCATTGTCCATTGAATTCGCGCTAGTGGTTTCTGTTGATCTGCCTCTGCCAGAAGGCCCCCACCAAACAGCTTGCCGGTATTTCCCGCAAGTGAGACCTCCCAAAAACAACCTGGCTTTGTCTGAAAATTAGGTACTGCAAGTCAAAAAAAGGGACTAGCCATTTTTTGGGTATATATATATAGATATATATATATATATATATACGCTCCAGAAAACTCACCCATATGAAAATTCCAGCCCAACATCCACTATTGATCATTTCTCTGGGGAAGCACATGGCTTTGGATACCATCTGGTTATGACATTCACAGTTTGCCATGGAAAATCACCATGCTATTAATAGGGGTAAACCATCTATGTCGATTAGGGCCATCTATACCATGGCTATGTTAGTCATAACCAGAGGGTAACTCTTGTATGTTGACTGGAGGCTACTCCATGGACAAATCCAGTGTGACCACAACAGCCGCCAGTCCTGCACGGCTTTCGGCCTCTTTTTGAGGTAGAAAAACCTTGGAAGTTGCGAAGCGATCGAAGCGTGCAACGGATCAACATGGATAAACCGCTGGCTGGGGCAAGTCATTGGCTGGCTAAACTATCCATACACTTGGCTTCCCATATCCCATCATATTCCATGATATTCACATGTTTATTTTGGTGTTGTATATGCATTTAATTAAGTTATATCTCCGATTCTTGATGGCAGTCACTGCGGTCGCCCGGGCCTTAAAGTTTCACCCATTCTCATAGTTTGTCGGTTAAACCAAAGCATAGCTAGATCTCAAAATATTCTTGTTAGCTATTCTTATGGTAAACTAGATACTGTATAATATGAGAAGGGGTCAAAATTGGGTAGCCCAAGACTTGGATGGTACAAGAAGTAGACTCAGCAGATTAAAATCTGGGGTCCCCCAGGTCCTTAATTTTGACCCAAAATCATCCAAAATCAGACCATTTTAGTATTAGCCATGATAAATCAGGGTACCTCCATGTCTTTTCGGAAACCTCCATATTCTTTATCAGAACCCAGTCCGTTTGGTGGTAGCCCATTCCTGGAATTTTCCGCAACCAAACTCCGCTCCAAACTCTCCGCGCTACGCAGGGTCATGCAGCAGACAGTTCAAGACGGCATCCAAAGGGCCTGGGATCGGTGGTCGATTTCACCAAAATGCTGGCTACAAAACTGCTGGGCGATCGCCAAAAAAACTGGTCTAACCAGCAAAAAAACATGGAATTCAGCAACACACATGTTGATTTAACCAGCACAACTGTGAAATTAACCATCAAAAACGATGTTTTGACAACCAGAAAAAACAATTTTAAACAACAAACACTGGGATTTATATGTGATTTATGATAGACCCCTCCAAATAGGTTTCCTTGGGGAAATGATTAAAAAAGGGGGGCGTAAGACCCATGGGATATGATGCGGAGGTAGAGATGGATGGGGTGACATAAGGCAACTTATAAATGGAGGGGCCATCCATGTTAGTTGCTTCTGTACTCCCCTGTGTCGGATCTCAAGTTTGGTTGCTCAAAAACCCATTTTCGGATCCTTTTGGTCCAGTGAAAGTGTGTTCTAACATGTTTGGTTGTGTTTTTGTTGTGCAAGTCCACATTTCAAGCCACCAAAAATCAGATAAGCCTCGTCTGTTGCCAGGGGGGGGTGGAACCCCAAAAAAAATAAAACAAAATGCAGGGGCCTAAGGACAAAATGCCAATAAAATGAGAGGGCATAAGGTAAGATAGGAAAACCCAAGCAAAATACAATGGACAGGTACAAAAAGAAAATGACGTCAGGCACCCTCCACCTGGCCACTGTTGGACCTACGTTATGCAACTGTTGGACCTCGGGCTCCGGCATCTTCTTTTGGGTTGATCTTGTTTTGTCTAGTCTCCTTCTTTGATTGGTTTTAACCATCTTTGAAGGAAAACCCGAAAACCCCCAAAATGGCAAGACCCAACTGATCTGTACAGAATAGATTGTTTCCCCAACTGCCAGGACTAACGAATTATTGCTGATCCTGCCAGGCCTGTCATCTAAACCAACCAAAATGGTTAACCAGCATACATGATTCCAGGCTTAATATCTAGACACCCTTCATGCACCCCTCCAAAAGTTAGTGGTAAGTATTGACAAGCCAAAACAGGCATCTCAAACCAACCCCCAATATAGTGACCTAGTCTGGAAAATTGAAAGAATATATCCTACAAAAAAATGGGGGTGCCCAAGGGTAAGAATAGCAATCCTCATGCGGGTGCCTTAGGGGCCCCCAATTTCTAGTGGATGGCAGCCATCACAAAGACGCGCAGCTGTGCATCTTTGCTATCATGCTATCTCTGTCAGTTAACTTGATGGGTTAGGCACCTCAAAAAATAAAATTCACCCACAAAATAAAATGCTGGGGTCTGACCCATTTTATGTTCATTTTATTTTTATTTTTTTTATTTTAAAAGGGGTTCCTGCCCCTCATTTTATTTAGGCACCCCAGTGGGGGGTAATCAGATATAGTTTCTTTACATCCCAAAAAAATTGCCTGATGTTTTGTCCATGTTTACAGCTTCGACATGCATCCAGTGCACCATCCAAACCTCCACAGACTCCCCCCTGAGCTGCCCCAGCCGCAGGTTCGAGGCGTCAAGCTGCCGGCTGTGATGCTGGTGGCATCCAGCCCAAGTCGCGTTCGGCCCAACGGTGCCATTCCGGCAGGGCATGGCAGGGCGTGAGTTCTGTGTGTGGCTGAACCAAAAAAAAACCTTGATGGGTACCTGCTAGG